CTCTGATGTGGCTGGAGATGTTTTATTTCTGTCCCGCTTTGTTTTTGCAATCACGCTCAGGGGTTAATCTGACTAACCCTCCTCTTAGATGTGGCTCCTTGGTTGGAATTAATTTGCATCACTTGTGAAATTTTGCAGGAATACCGAGTACACCCTCCTTGCAAGTGCGTGGGGTGAGAGCATCGCTGCTCGGCCGGTGCCGGCTGTGGGTTGTCTCCCTCCAGCTTGTGCCCGAGGTGGCTCTTCGTTAGCGTCAGTGTGGCAGTCAAACATTTTGGGTACAGTAGGATCTGAGCCTAGACTCCCCCAATATTTCCATGAGTTATTGAGTATACAGAGCATGTAGCAGAAAAATCGTGGCAATATAGCAAGTGCCCATGGGGTTGTTTTAAAATGCAGATGATAGGAAAAGACTGGTTTTGGAAGAAAACTTAACATTTATGCTTTCCCTGCTTCAGGGTAGGGCAGTTTGATTTAAGATGGAGCGAGATTTAACCCATTCCATATGCAGAAAGCCTTTTAGCACGACCTTTAGCTGCAATTTCCCAGGCTGCGGTGGTTGCCTGGTGCCTGCAGAAGGATGTGACTTGGCCATATCCTGTTTACCATAACGTGACAGAGTTGAGATGTCCCCTCGGTGCTGTCGTTTACAGACAGCAGCAGCACAGCGTGTCACCCCACGCTGGGACCCGAGAGAGGGAAAGACCATCCTCCTGCTCATCCAGCGGAAGAGCTGATGTCATTGAAAGAAAGGTGTTTCAGAGGAAGGATGTATGCGGCCAAAATAAAGCTTGGCCTGTGTTAGGATAGCTACATCCTGTTTACTGTGGCAAACACTTTGTGCTGATGCTAGGTCTGAAACGCGTGATTTATACACAGGCAGGCGCAGCAGATAAGGAACTTCCCGTGATTTTGGCCACCTGTGAGAAGAAAGAGCTATGTCCTTCGGGCTGGGAGGTGGCGGAGCTGCTGGCAGACAAACACCGGCACAGGCTTCCCGAGGTGCTGAGCATCCCTCGGGCTCCCAGGTGGCCTGAGGTGCCTCTGTGCCTCAGTTTCCGAGCAGGAAGGAGCCTTGTGAGCTTCGGGTGGTTAATATTGGTAAAGAGTAGTGAAGAAGGGCTAGAGATAGTCATCCTGAAGACAAATAAATAAACCCAAGTGCATTTCTAAAGGTCTGGCTGTGAATGGAAGTGGCCATTAAATCAGAAACGTGAATGGCTTGCCGTATCCACTGTATGGTTTTAAAAAGTTGTGTTGCCCAGTTACAGCAGGAAACATACACACTTAAGTATTTGGTCTAGGATTTTATTTTTTAATAGAATGAAATGCCGTAAAACTGCAAAATACATTTAGCAAAGTCGCTTGCATCCACGACACTTGATCCTTTCGTCTCAGTCCCACGTGAGCAGCGCGGCAGCTCTGAGTGTGTTGGCACTCACTTTAGCAGAGGAAGTTTTTCAAATCAGGCTTTGTTATTTCACGTCTGACGCAACCGGCGGCAGCAGCGGACGCGGGTCTGGACGGAGATCAGGGTGGTTTCGTGGGGAGGACCCAGCCTGCCGTCTGTGGCAGCACGCTTGCATGTGTCCAGATGCAGGGAAACGACCCTGGATCCCTCTGCAGCGGCACGCTCCCTCCGGGCCGTTCCGCAGAACAGGGAATTGTCTGCTGTGCGCGCCCTTGCCCAGAGGATGCTGTGGGCCTGGGACGGGACCAGGTACTCGGGAAGCCAGTGCTGTTTGTTGAGCAGCTGCTAAAAAGGACGAAGAGATGGCTGACCGCTACGGTTCACACCCAGCCTGGTGGGGTTTGCTTCTGTCTTCTGCCGTGCAGAGGGGAGGAGGGGGCAGTGCCATGGCCTGTGGTCCCCACACCGACTGTCCCTCCATGGGCCAACCATGGCAGAGAGGTCACCAGCCCAGCTGTGGTCTGTCAGGGGCTCCTTTCCTCCCACCAGCGAGGGGATGCCATCCCTCGCTCCTGGAGACACAGACCAGTTGCCTTGCAGACGTTTTGGGGTTTAGCAAGCTTCTTCCCTGTTTTTGCTGAGGGATGTGTTGCTGTAGTGTGGCACCAACCTAAGGCATGCAGTCGTGGTGGGGAGAGGGGACAGGCAGAAGGTGGGAGGTACACCCCAAAGTGGGGTCGGGGTGGAGGGGTGCTCCTGCCCAGCCCTCCTGTGCGCACGTGCTACGAAGCCTGAAGATTTGCCTAATCTCCTAAACGGGCTGAAGAGAGGGGAGAGCTGAAGATTTAGCCTGGTTCCATTAATGAAATAATAACGGTAATAAGGGAATTAAAATACAGGGCCTGGTGTGCTGAGCACAGGGAGGAGGCAATATGCTAAACAGGCTGGTTGTCAACTTCTCCTGCCTGGTGGAAGCATGTGGTCCAGTTTCTTAACAGATACAGCCCAAATCCCTGCATTTGTTCTGCTTAAATTAGCACTCCTGACAATTATTTTGGAAGGGATATCCATGTTATGGCTGAGTTCAGTAAGGCATAAAATGTGCTTAGTTTTAGGGGTGTGGGTTGCAGTCCGCCAGCGGTCTCTTGTCTAGGGTTTTGTGTAAGCACTTCCCACAATCAGAACCTTAATTTGGTGTGCTTTCAGGCAAGCCTGCGAATACCCACAGTTGTCGGCACGTCAGCCCTGCAGCTGCATGCCAGCACCCGCGAAGGGTGACAGCACAATTGCAGCTTCTCTTCAGATGAGCCTGAAATGACACTGTAGATGATGTGGTAATGGCCCTTGAAACATGCCCATCATTCGAACAGCTTGGGCTGCACCCACAGCACTTCGTAAAAGCTGCTGCAGGAGTGACAGCAGGTAAATTGTCAGCACCGAGGCTGTTGTGATATTCAGATGTTGTTGAATCCATCCACATTGTCTGAGCAGAAATTATAAGGAGAGTCTCGGAGGATTCAGGGTGAGAGTGGTCATAAATCTTGGGTGCATCTCGGCAGGGTAGGAGGAATACGAAGCATCAGTCCTGTTTTCAAATGCTGCTGTCAGGCAGCGACTCTGCTAATTAATTTAGCACAGGATAGTGAAGTCTGTTGTCTTGCTTTGGGCCAAATGAGCCAAGCGCCTGCTTACAGACAAGGCTTGTAAATGAAGAGTCCTTAACAACTGTCCTCTGCCTTCGCCCCTTGGCACCTGAGAGCAAATGGATGTGGGAACCTGGATACTGGCCCCATGCCCCCGGCTGCCAGCCCTCGTGCGGGGCAGCTCACCCGCCCCGGCCGGCCTGGCAGTGCTGCTCACCCCAGCGCTTCCTGCCCGAGCCGGGTGTCTGCTCGAGCTTGCAGAGCCCATCGTCCTGCTGTCTTGAATTTAACTTTTCTGCAACAAAGGCAGTTCCTGCTCCCCCAGAGCTTCGAGGAACAGCTTGAAAGCAGAAGCCAGAGGCAAATAATGAACATCTTGTGGTCTTGGACACAGCTGTATTTGCTCCCCGGAGCACAGCGAGCGGCTGCAGTCTGAGGCTGGACAGGGTTGGTGGCTCCAGCATTTCTGGGCAGAATTTTGCAGCCATTGCTCTTCCCTCTGTGTCCTGCAGCGTGGGCTCATCTCCATCCCATCCCGTCCCAGTGGAAGACCAGTGGAAATGTTGCTGTTGACTGCAGTAGGAGCAAGGTCGGGGCTGGGATTTACAGTCCTGAGAGTCACCATCAAGCTTTTTCCGCACACTCCCTCCCCCCTTGGTTTTGTTCTCAGTCACTTCCTCACTTGCTTATAGGGAAATAATATTCTGAGTTCTTTTATTGGAGAAACCTTTTTTCTTCATCTTTTGTTTGAGACCCATGGCAGCATTGGGGCGGCACACGCGACCAGCCCTCTATGGGCAGAGCATCCACCTCTGCGAGGGCAGGCAGGTGCTGGGGAGGGCTCCTCTGTGGTGGGCTGAGAAACCTCCCCTGCAGTGCAGCCGTCAAGAAGAGACCTCTGCCTGCTTCACCTTTTGCTGTGGCGCCAGACTTTGCTGCTGAGGGGAGGGTGCTCCTGCAGTAAACGGTGCTGCCCAGCCTGGGCAAGGGCTGAGCTCTTCGGACAGCTCATCTCCAGCAAAGCCTGCTCTGGCTCTGGCTCTGAGGGTAGATCTGGCAAGCCACAAAGGAGGCCCTATTACAACCCTTTGCTCACATATTAACCAGTTACATTTTCCTATTCCATGATCGGCGGTGAGGAGCTTTCCCTGGGCATGGCAGGACCGTCAGCAGTTTGTCCATGCTGAGCCCGGGGTGGTGATGGTGGAGGGATCCGTGGTGCGTACTGCAGCCCAATGTTGTGCGCATCTCTCCGCAGCTGCAGCCGGAGCAGCTGGACTGTGGAGCAGCGCACCTTCAGCACCCCCTGGCCATCGTGAGCCCCCTCACAGCAACGCCCATCTTCACCTACAGCGGCCTGACAGCGGTGGCGGTGGCCAGCGTCAACAACTACACCGTGGTGTTCCTGGGCACTGCCAGCGGAGGACTCCTGAAGGCAAGTGGAGCCTGCAGCACCAGCACGGGGAGGGCAGGGCTGGGAGGACAGGGAGGGTGGCGAGGCTTCCCCTTCCAGCACCTCTGGTTTGCACAGAGGACCGTGTCTCTTGTTGAGTTTGTCTGAGCACCTGCTTTTGTCAGGCAGTGAAGAAGGAATTGGATGCTGCTGTAATCTCTACGGTGATATACGGTGACTGGTGGCTGTTAATTACTGTTCAAGGCTGCCATGCGAGCAGGGTGTTCTTGATGAACCCTCTGTTAGAAATGTTATTGTGCAGCATTTAGTTACTCACAGCTCTTCTAATAAATGCTCCCTCCGAGCCGATGGCTTTTGAAGGCTCCATGTAGACAGGGGAATCACCGAGAGATGCTTCATCACAGCTGAGTCCAAAGCAGGTGTGAATCCGTGCATCTGATGGAGTATCTGTTCTAAAGAACGTGCCAAATGCAGTGTAGGGCAATGCAATACCCTGGCTCCAGAGCCAAGATGCAAGACCAAGGTTTCGGTAACTTTAGCGCTTGGAGTTTGCCAAAGAAAGTTGTGATTCCAGCCAGCCACAACAGTTTGGTGTGCTGTCAGTATCAGAAGTCCATAGAGGAGAGAGCAAAAAAGCCCTGGAGGGAGACACGGCTGATACCTGCTTTGTCTCAGCCCGGGGTGAGTGGTACATAATCGGGAATATTGGATCAAAATGCTTGGAGAGAAGAAAACTGATCCAATCTCTTCCCTTGCATCCAAGTGCTGCTGGCAGAAATGTGGGAGCGATCACAAGGAAACTCACTGCTTTGATTTTTGCCCACAGGGGCAGCTAATTCATGAGGGTGGGAGGAAGCTGGCACCCCAGCCTGGTGCAGCGGGCTGGAGAAGCACATGCCACACGCAGAGCAGCCCGTGTTCACACACTATTAACAGCTCTGCTTCCATTATCATCTCAGAGAAAGCAGGCTTATCTGCTGAGCCTCCATTAGGGAGAGGCTTCTGGCTACCCTTTGCTGGGATAATTTGCTCAGATAGCTCTAATCTAATTCTACAACACAGCTGCATAACCAGAAGCCCTTTTACCTTCAGGGCTCCTTGTTATTTGGCACGGGATACAAGATACTTTGCGTGAGTTATCATTCAGATTTGCTGCCTGAGAAAAGACAGTAAAGGGGCAGAAAGAGTGCTCGCCCAGCTCCTGCCAGCGGCAATTATGGCTGCCAGGGGTATGTATGGGGGATTAATCAGATAGGCTGGAGATGGGCATTTCGTGAAGGCCTTTATCAGTGCCACGTCCAGCAGTCATTAATGGCAAAACAGTGCTTGGGAAGCCGTGGCCTGGGCAAGGTGTGCCAGGATGCAGTGCCCTCGAAGGAGACGGTGGGTGGGAAGGATCTCTTCTGACAGGTGCCCATGTATCCAGGTCTGGAAGTCTAGACAAGGTGCTGTGGTGGGGTTATCCAGAACTTCAGCCCACGCTGCTTTCACCAGCTTCGTCGCAGCATGTGTCCTCTAGCATGCCTCGACCCTGCTCCAGTGAGAGGGCTGGTGGTCACCACACCACTGCAGTGGCTCTTCCCAGGGGCCAGCAGCTCGCGGGGATCCAGGGAAAGTACCTGTGCAGTGAAAGTGGAGGGTAAGTGAGCCCAGGAGGCAGAGGGACCTACGGACAGGCCCCTGGAAACAGCCAAGTGTAGAGCAAACCTCAGCAAGAAGCGTGAGAGGATGGTCACAAAACTAAAGTGAAGGGCATCAGGGCTCGGTTCATGGACGTCTTGGGTGATCCCAGGCAAATTATTTAGCTTCTGCATAGCCAGTTTTTAAAAAGGGGATAAGGATAGTTCCCCTCCTTTTCTGCATAGTAGCTTGCAGTACTTGCATATTGTTCTTAGCAGAGGGAAGCCCTTTGCTTTGAGTTTGTGCTATCTTACTAGGACATGTCGGTGCTGCTCCAGTGTAAGAATTAATTAATCTTATGTTAATTAATTAATCCAGACTTTAGAGAGCAGAGGCATGCTTTTTCCTTACAATTATTGCCTTCCCTGGCTAGTAAGGAGGTAAGAATTTTTCTTGCTCCCTTTCTGCTGTAAGCTGAAAAGTGACTGTCACGCAAAATTGTGTAGCCCTATTGTTATTTCCTCTCAGCAATGCCACATTTAATTTTCTGAGTTTCAAGTCAAATGCCAAGACATTCTGAGATCTGAAAGGCAGGCTGATGCTTTGCAGCCTCTTCCATCACTGCCAGCACTTCAGCGGGTGATTCATGAGGCAAGGTAGGATTCAGCTCTCCTGCGGCAGCTGCCGTGGTCTTCTGGAGTTAGCAGGGATAAAAGCTTCTCTTGGCCAGGAATGACAACACTTATTTTTCAAATATTCAGGGAGCAGGGGATGCCATGTTATACAGCCCTGTTGATGATTTTCAGTGTTTTTCATTAAGCTGTGGAAATGCAACGTTCTTTGTAACAGAAATGCACGTATGTGGGTAATGAGGGATGAAGGCTGGTGCCGCTTACATTAGAGTAAAGCGAGAGTAACACCGCTCTGTCCTTCTGGAAAGAGCCCTGCCATCGAGCCGTGCAGTGGGTAGAGCCTTAGCGTTTCCCAGGCAGTCTCTCAAACGGAGAACTTTAAACAGCAGCACCAAGGGCTGAAAGGGTTGTTCATCACTGAGCCGGGATCCTGGCCATGGCCTGGACCTTCTGGACCACTTTGTGGCTTCCCTGTGGCACGGGGCTGGCTTTTCAGTAAAACTCTGTGTGTGCAGCATGCCAAGTGTGTAGCGATTTACAGTGCTGGAAAAAGTGGAACACCGTTAGACACCACTTTGATTCTTGTTCATAACAGAGGAAAAACAATCTTCTCCCCATAGTGTTTGAAAAATGGTCTCAGTGAGTGGCTTTTTCCCACTACAGATTAATCTGGACAATACCATGAAGGTGGTTAGCAGGAGATCCATTTCAGTGGCTTATGGAGAGCCTGTCCATCCCATCATGCAGTTTGACCCTTCTGATTCCACCTACCTCTATCTGATGACCTCCTACCAGGTGAGACCTTTAGGCTTCAGCAAAAGAGTCTTTTGAGCATCACGTGTGTGATTTAGCATTCAGCACTAAGCTGGGGGCCAGAAAGGATACTAAAATTTGATTTAATATTAATGGGCAGAGCCAAAAAGTTCAGAGCTTTGGCTGGGGTGTCAAAGGGCTTTCCGGGGGGGTACCCATGCCTGTCCATTCTCGTGTGCGGGGTGGGTATCAGGCTGAGCGGACCAGCTTGTGAGGCTTTCTCATCTTTGTGGTGGCAAGGTAGAAAGAAGAGTGAAAGATATCGAAAGTGATCCCACTCACGGGAGCGTAGAAACAAGCAGAGGTTGTTCCTGTATAGAAACCCCAAAATTCTGGTACCCAGTCTTCAAGGAGGCTTCCAGGAGAACAGCAAGCCAAAAAGTCTGCCTGTCAGAAATGATGCTTGGGGCAGGTTTCTGCTCAGCCTGGCTGGCAGGATGGCTGGATGGGAGGAGGGCTCTCTGAGGAGACCGGGAATGCTGCAGCAGGTAGAAACAGACGGTCTCATCTCCGTCAAGTGAGCAGAGGAGGAAGATGAGAGCTGAGCGCTCCAGGCGCTGGTGGTTTGTCCTGAATTACATTTTAATCTGTCAAAACAGATGCACAACCACAAATGTTACACGTTGCATTTATATTTTCTAAGCCCTAATTCCCTGCAGATTGGTCATTATCATTTCACAGAACCCTCCTGGGATGCCTCTTCAGCCAATGTTTCAGACTGTCTCAGCTCAGCTCCCAGGCTGGGCTGTGCCCCTTACTCAGGCTAGACCCAACACCCAGTGCAGCCCTTGTGATGCTCTCCCCTCAGTTTTCCACTAAACCAGATGAGTTAATTTTTGTTTGATGGAATTCTCGTCTGGGAAGCTCTCAGGAGCAAGATGGTGTTGTGGGGGAGTGGGGAAGTGCTGAGCACCCCAGGATTGAGGCGCATGGATGAGCTGCAGGCAAAGCAGGGGGCAGGCCAAAGAGTCCACAGTCCGAGGTGTACTTGCCTGGTGGGAGCTCAGGGCTCTCAGCACCTCACACAATCGGTCCCCGCTGTACCAAACGACTCAGTTTTCCTTCCCAACTTTTAGAAATTTAGGGAGGAAGAAGCAGAATTTTTTTTACTGCTCCTGATGAGCCAGTCCCCAGAGGTGCTTTGATTTCTTTACAGATTAAGGTTTCCAGAGTGGTTTTGCTTTCTGGCCATTCTGTAAATAGCCGGGTAGTGTTTAGCTCTGACTAGAAAGGCACTTTCTGCAGGTCTTAGTGAGAGCTTTTCACAGGGAGGGACAAGCTGTGAAACCATCTCTCTCTGATGCATCAGAAAGGTGTGGTGTCGCTCTCCATAGCCTGACCATCACACAACTATTGCCGAGATGCCAGCTGAAAAGGAGCAGCTCAGCTCAGCACTGCCGTGCACTGGCAGAGCGACTACAGCAGCAGCAGCAAGCCCCGTCCCTTCAGCATCCTTACCTGCCCTGGGGCATGTGGTCCCCAGGCTGGGATGGGCTCTGCTGGGGAACTGCCTGTGCTGGTCCCTGCGGTGTCTGGTCATACAGAGCATCTGCTTCTGAGCGGTGTGGGGCAGACCAGGGTCTGCTCCTCATCATCCATTCCGTAAGGCTTGCTCCAGACTAATGGGTGAAGTAGCCCAAGATGCTGGTGTCTCACTGCTAGCTCTGCCTGGCCATACCAGCGCATCCTGGTTGGATTGAGCGTGTCTGTGGTGTTGTAAAACATTTGGAAGCAGTTGTGCTGTTGTCGTGCAGATGATGCGGGTGAAGGTGGCTGCCTGCAACCAGTACTCGACGTGCACGGAGTGCCTGGCCGCTGCTGACGCTTACTGTGGGTGGTGCACAATGGAGACCAGGTAGGACTGCTTGTGTCCTAATGCGCTTTGTCCTGTTCTTCGGCCCTCCAGCCTGGGCAAGAATTTTTGATGCTTTTTATATTTCCACACAGTCACACCACCATTAGTCTTTGTTCATTCCTTATGAAATACATGCTTTTAAGAACAATTACATCAGATCTCCAATGGTTGGGATGCTCTTTAGGATTTAACTGTAGCCTCACTGTTACGCTGCAGTCTGCTGCCAGTGCAAAGAATATCTTGCAGGCATCCAACCGTAGGACTGAGAGAGCCAACACCCTGTTAAAGACAGTGTTTTGCCCTTGCAGTTATTATTTATGTGTAGAAGACAATCAACATTCAAAAAGGGATTTACAAAATTAGACTCCACGTTTCCAAACTGAAGAAGTCAGACAAAATGTCAACTTCTTTTCGGTTCTGGGTTCAGCCTGCCTTCTCTCACTTATCCTGAATCCTGGTGCTGTGTTGATGCTGGTGGGAGTACGCGCTCTTATCGTGGCAACCAGACACTTTAAATATAGCAGCAAAGCTTTAGGCTTAGCTATGTCGATGGAGGAAGAAGAGGTAGGCACAGGATTTTCACCAGATCTTCCCTCACAAGGAAGGCAACATTTTTATCACCTGTTTTAAAAATAATCCATCACGAATTGTTCTGCTGTTTGTTGCAGGTGTTCTTTGCAGCATGAGTGCACGAACTTCACAGGGGCCAACTTCTGGGCGAGTGCAAGTGAAGGAGTGGAGCAGTGCCCTTCCATGACCATCTTGGAGCCTGAGATTAATATCGACAAAGAGAACCCGGTCCGTTTGATGTGAATTCCAAATCAGTCACGTGCAGCATTCCGTACAGGCATTACCTACTCTCAGGGCTGATAAATATCCATACTCCTCTAGTGTAGCAGCACAGCTCCACGCAGCTCGGGTGTGGGTTGTGGGGATGCTGAGTGTTGTATGCTACTGAGTCTGGCCAAGGTTCTCAAAAGCCTCTGGGGGTGAGCTCCCGTGCCTCAACCCCCTGGAAGCCAGTGGGCCATCAGCTGCTGAGCCTGCAGATGAACAGGACTTCTAAAGCTGCTAAACAAAATACAGGGGAGAGATTTGCAAAATTTCAAAATACAGACCATCTGCAGACAGCTAAATCAACTCATTTTCTGGTTTTGTCTTCTTGCTATTCTTAGCAATATCTTAATGATACTTTATAGGGTTTCAGCAAAATATTTTTTGTTTAAAGACAGACCGTCTCCCAGTGACAGAAATCTCTCTGTGCCAAAGTTCTCAACCAGTCCTAACATGGGGAAATCGCTCATTAGCAGGCAGCAGTTGGGGCAGAGCCCAGACCAGAGCTGGGGAGAGGGAGCCCACGGGACCCTAGCACTGGTCTGGCTCCCCTTCACCCACGCAGGAGCGGTGGGCTGGGGTCCCCAGGGACTCACCCCACTGATGGCTGGGGGAAGGCAGCCAAGCATGTGGGCTGCATGTTTTCCTGAGTTGCTCTCCTCAAAAGTATTCCTTTTCTGCAAGCCTTCCCATCCCTTCCCCTTAAAGGCTGACGGCAAAAAGAACCCCTGCAGCCAGCCGGCTCAGCCTCTGTGTGCCGGTGGAGGACGCTGGCTTGTGGTGGCCCCCCAGCCCTCCCAGCAGGCTCCCCCTAGCTCAGCACCTCCTGTCTTCCATCCCTGGTACCAGCTGGTGCAGGCTGGGAGGTTGAGGAACTCAGAAGCAGAGGTTAATTTTATTCTGCTCTTCCTCCGCTGTTCATGCTGAGGTGTCCCTCCCTGGAGCTTTTTGGAGCTGGAGACCCCAGTCTAGGAGGCTGTGGGAGTGGGGCATACTGGGGCTTGTGCAGGCAGGTGGGTCGAGGACAACCTGGGAGCCGGGGGGTGCTTCGCCTTTGCGTCCTGCTTCCTCCAGAGGGTCTCCTGAGGAAGCCCTGAGCTGGGTTCTCATGCCAGCTGGTAACACCAGCTACACTTGATGGAGCTCATGGTGACTGAGCTCTTACTGCTGGAGCAAGGTTTTGTATGCAGATGGGTTTTTGGAGTCAAAGTGCATAAAAATGAGAGAAAACAGCTACCTGTGGACTTGTTTTGGAGTCTTTAGCCTGTGTAAAGCTTGTAAAACATTGACAAATTCTAATCACAATTTTCTGTCACAATAACATTTTTTTTTTTGTCCAAATATAGGCCCTGATAATACAAATAAATGGGACTATCCCGAACCTGAATGGAACAAATATTTCATGTGACTATGGAAATAATATCCACACAGTAGCCAGAGTTGCTGGAGATTACGTAAACCAATTTATTTATTGCAGTTTACTTCCACGTGAGAAATATCCCGTGTTTCCAGACGACCAAGGTACGTAGAGGAAAACAAGCTCGGTTCATTCTAACCACTTTTGTGGACATAATTTTTGTAGGCTTTTTGTTGTTTCTCCAATTGAATGTTCAGATAATGCACATGGGGGAAAAGAGACCCAAGCTGCTTCTGATTTATAGGGCATACACCTTTAAAACGTGGGAGTTCCATTGCCTTAACATGAATTGACAGTATTTAAAGTCTATCAATTTTTGGTTTAAACATCAGAATTTAAAAGCCAGTTCATGTGCTCACTTTATTAAATTTATCTGGTTAGAGCTTCTGATTAGATTTAATAAGTAGTAAACCAAAAATGTTTTAGCCCTGGGGAAATAACGGTGCTACTTACATTGATATTTTGAATTGCTTTTGCTTCATTTCCCTCCTGAACATGCACTACCTTTCAGGAGAAGTTCTGGAAGAAGAGCAAGTGCCTACCTAAAGGCAGCTCAGAAACTCTTAATCCCATTTATGCAATCAAAAAACAGATTGAGACCTTCTAGTATCCCCCCATTTTCAGACAGTGCTCAAGGGGATGCCCGTCTTGAGGCTCAGTGGAGCTGCGTTCTGGAGGTGACGAGCCCCTGCAGGTCTGGTTGAAGTCAACCAAGCCTTGAAGTCTGGGCTGACCAGATCCAGTACTGGCCACTTCGTGATGGAGACAGCCCCATTTTATAGCTCCTTCTGAGAAGTTTGATGCTTCATTCCAGACTTAAGTGCTTGTTAAATTTTCATCTTTCAAGCTGGAGTGAATGCTCTATTGAAGATGGCTGACTTCAGTAGGAGAAGTATTAGCCAGTCCTTTTGAAAATCCCACTTTTCATAGGCAAGTTTATAAAGCTGCATTGTTTTTCTCCCCAGCTATCCAGAGAATGGGAGATCATTAACTGTTCTGTATTGTTGGTTACGGCAATGTCCAAATGAATTTCTGGAATCCAGTGCACTGATTTATTGTACATATTCTGAAAGAGTCATTGTCTCTTGTCTCTGGTGCTTATATGGCAAAATTGCAAAGAAAAAAAAATTAGCAATTTTGGGGGGAGGGGAAGTTGTTACAGCATGTTAAGTAGCCAAAAAAGGGATTTCCACCCTTCTCTGCGGGTTTGTTGTCATGGGGAAAGCAAGCGGGGTTTTAAAACATGATAACTAACATGTTTTAATTACCACATTTTTTTAAAATATCATTTAGCACCAACTGTAAGCGAAGACAATAATTAACTCTGCTAATTAACACTTGCACAACACACTGGAATTTTCTGCTGAAAGTCACAATGTTCTTTTCTGGCGAGGGTGATGTAAAGCGTTGATTTAAGAGGGAAGAGCTGAAAGTCAGAGGGCAAAAGATGAATGGTCCAAGCTCTGAAATGCAGCTTGGAGAAAGCCCTAGAGAAAACAAATCAGATTTAGCCCTTGTTTTCCCAAGGGTCTGTCTTGTCTTCTAAGCGTCAGCACAAGTGAGAGGCTCTTGCAACCCAATATTCTTTGGCTTGATTCTCTCAGACCACGTGGTCGTCGAAACTGCTCTCCGGGTCAACAGCAAAAACATTATCCGGGCCAATTTCACCATCTACGATTGCAAAAGAACTGGAAACATATACCCGAAGAGAGCGTAAGTGCAAGCAGCCGGGCCACCGTGGGCTGGCGGCATGCGGGAGCGGGTGGTGCCGTGCTGGCCGCGTGGCACGGGAGCGATGGAGGCAGACGCAGTGGTTTGAAGCCCGGGGGGTGCGCACACACAGACGGACGAGGGTCCCCCCGCGCGGGGTTGGTGGGACAATGCAGCCTCCCCGCCAGCCGGGCAGCTGGAGGCCTGGGCAGGGTTTGGCAAAGATGTAGGGGCTCTGCTGCCAGGGATTTACAAAGGAGGGTCCTCGCGGCATCTTGAGCCATCTGGATACATTGGGGTTTTTTAATGTGAATAATATTATTATATACAGACCGGGGGGGGAGGAGAGCATCTTCACCCCGCAGGGGAGGAGCTGAGCGGGTGGCTCCCGTCTGCCGTGGCCTGGGGCCAGGTGGTGGCACCACAGGCAGTGACGCCATGGGGCTGCCTTCCAGCGGCACTGGGGACCGTGGGTTCTGCCTGTGTCCCCTGCCAGCTTACAGGGAGAGGAGGGGAGGACAGCCCAACGCCTGCCATAGACGGGTTTTTCTGGGCACCTTTTAAGATTGAACGTGGTGTGTTCAATCTTCAAAGAAGATTGATTGCATGGCTGAGGTTTGGCTCCCCTGAGCAGCCTGAAATCTGCTTCTCTGCACCGTTGCCATTTCAGATGCACCAGCTGCCTCTCAACCAGGTGGAAGTGTCAGTGGTGTCCCTCCACCTACACCTGTGTCTCCAACCGCTCACAGTGCGACGACGCGCTGCGGATGAAGGTAAGGCCCGTCAGACTTGGATGGTTCAGGAGACCCTTCCTGCATTGTGGTGCCGTAGCTCTTGTTCCCGCTCGGGAGTGCTGCTCTGTATGCATCGTGTTGGCAGTGCGGGTGAGCATGGGGCTGAGACCGGGCTCCAACTGTCTCACCACAAGGTCCTCAGGCTGAGCCTCACTTTATTTAGTGACCTCGCGCGGGTCTTCAGGCACTGGTGCTCAGCACCGTCTCAGTTGCTCCTCCTGGCAAGCTCGGAGTCTCCTCCGACACTTGCTGGCCATGGCATGTCCCAGGCTGGAGTTGGGGCACCCTCCTCTGCTGGTGTCCAGGAGGAGGACGTGTGTGGGATGAGTAAGCTGCAGCCATGCTGTGCTGTGCCATGCCATGCCATGCCGTGCCGTGCTGTGCCCAGAGGCATGCGTGTGTGAGGAGGCTGGCAGCCCTGCGACAACGTTCAGCTGTCCCAGGGGCATCCGTGGGCTCCGTCCCTTGGTTCTTTATCACCTCTCACATGTGCAGCAATGCTGCCATTTCTCCGCATCCTGGGACGCCTGGGTTTGAGTAATGCAATAAACGTAGCGGTACTTTACCATTCTTTTAGCTTTGACTAGGCTGTTGCGGCTTGTTATTAACTTGCTGGAGCACCACTGGTGGTGCTCATCTAAAGGAGAAAATCGCCCTTTTCCAAATTAGAGCTTCTAATAACCCAGAGGCTCAGTGCGTTCCTGCTTCTGAAATTTAAATTGAAGTTAATTTAAATAAAATTGGCTTTTTAGCAATCAATCTGCTGTAGAGCCGAGCCAAGTTTTCACACTGTAAATTGAATATCCCTTTGGCACCGGTGCTCTGCTCTCATCTCAGCTCTCGCAGCGGTTCCCCTTGCTCGTCCCTGGCAGGAATTTGGCCCAGTGTCAGATGTCCTAACCTCACCCCCCAGGCTGACCCTGGGCCACCCTGGCATCCGCTCCCCTTCAGCGGTGAGGAGGTGGGCAGCTGCAAGTGCAGGGAACAGGGAAGGAGATGAGGCCACCACATCACAGCTCTGCATGGTCGTG